GGTTTGTAATGGAGTTAGCGGCGGGAAAAGCCGCCGCTTATTAACGGGTCCGTGAGCGTTAAATCGCGCGCCTAAACTGGCGCCGCGCGAAATTGTTTTGGTGTGCAAACGGTTAGCACGTGGTGCGCCAACGTTAATTGTTGTTTCCACGTGTAATTTTGAATCGACGACCATCGCGAATAGCGACGGGGATGCCGCGAAGCACTCGAATTAAATCTCGCGTGTAACAGCAGCGTTACATGACGCACTTGAAGGCGCATGCGAAAATTAACCGCGTATAATTCGCTAACGAAATGAATCGTTCCAATTAAAAGCATCGTCCTTACTATCCTTAATTTACTCGATCCTTCGTTTCTTTTTAAAGTCACAGAATAAAAGGGGAGAGAAGAGAAATTCTTCCTTAAAATATTCGACCCTAAAATTAGAACTGGAACGTCGTGGTAAAGGAAACGATTACATTATACTCAAACTTAAACGGAGCGATACTGAAATAGTTTCCAAGTTCGAATAAACGGTCTAGAAAATATTCGTGAAGCAGCTGACTCGGACAATGCATCTCTACTTCGCTCGTAGTGAACCCTCCGATCGGAAATTGCATGCGGCGGACGTCGACCTAGGATCGACCGAATGTATGAGAAAGAGTTCGAGAGAGATATCGGCATCGATCTATTCTATTCCAAATGTCGAGCGAGTTGTGGCTATTGTTGTAAATCTTTTCAGATATCTAAGTCTCGTGAGGATGTGTACACATGGTCATTGTGAGGTATAATTTATTAAAAATTGTAATAGGATTTAGCGATGCAACATTTCGTAAAATATGCAAGATAACTTCGACGATTGGGATTGGAATAGATAAAGTATCAATAAACGAAACAGAAAAAAAATAAAAAATAAAATTAATAAAAAATAAATAAATAAAGCTAAAATTATAAGTATATGGAACACGTGTGTACATAAAATATTTCCGCATTATTTTTTTTTTTTTTTTTTTTTTTTTAATCAGCACAATAAAATTGATTAAAAACTAATAATGATATTTTGTTCGCGCGTGACCTATTGAAGAATTTATTATTTTGCTTAACTTCATCACTTTTTATTATCGCGGAATCGTTGATTGCGAGAGGAAATCTCGCATTATTTCCCTATAAAAGAGATACCGCGGATTTCTGCACTCTTCGGTACTCGCTGTGATTTCAGTATTTGATCGTCGCTTGATTTGCCATTTCCGTCGATCAAATTAGAGTGTCCTTGTTTCGATACGAGTGAACTTGCATGAGCCAGTAAGGAGTAGCCCAGTCAGTTACACCGTACAGCGATGCTGGCTGTATGGTAAATGGAATTAATGGCGTTGGAATGATAAGTGACGATGTGACTGAATCTGATTTGATTACCAAGTATTTGCCGTCCAGCAGTATAATAGTGGCTTAACGCTGCCAATTGTTGTTTCTGTGTTGTCACTGTTAAGCAAATACAAAACACCGTCGCTCGCTTGGTCAACGCACTCGCTTTTCGATCGTATTATTATCTTTGAAAATGGACTGTGCATTCATATTTTTATACATACATTACTTTCGGTGTATTCGTTATTTTATTCTCCGGGGGTGAAACGGACGTGTTGCCGACTATCGACTTTATTCATCGACACCAGTCACTTTGCTGTCTGTCAATTGTTACGGGGACACTGGGTATATATTGTACTGTGCGTCACGCCTACGCTTAATGCGGCAGGCGTTTATCGGACGGACAGGAATCGCTCTCAATGATTTAGAAGTTATTTGAGGATACGTTAAAAATTACAAAGGGGAATCATATTTTACATGAATTTGAATATTTCCGACAAATTTAAATATTTGCATTGAATTATCAATAAGTTCTAGATTTTTTTTATATTATTATGAGATATGTAAAAATATTTATTACATTTTCAACAATAAATAATTCGCGTTAATCCAAGATATATTTTATTGATAATTTTCTCTCTTTAGCTAATATTTTTTTAAATATTTTTTTATATGTTGCATTGAAATGTCCCGATTATACGGAGCAGTCTGGAGACTGAAATAGTGAATGGCGACAAAGTAATGAAATGATCTAATGGCCTTAGACTGTATGTCGGGTTACTATAAAAGAGAAGGCAGTGCTGTGAGTGCCGCTTAAAACTGGTTTCCGTTGCGTTTCTATGCGAGCGGTTGATCGTAACGTAGATAGGGAATAGACTTACTCCAGTTTGCGGTCAAGAAGCGTAGCAGAAATTCAACCTCGGTATTCGAAGAAGAATTATGGATTAATTAATCAAAATGCATAACTTAAAAATTCTTATTATATAAGAACTGGAGTAAATTATTGATTTAGATTTATTATTTCAAATGATGAATCAAACAGTTTCTTTACCAAATTATCTCCGCTCTAATATCTAAAAGAGGACAATTGCTGTCATAAAATATTAAACGTTATTAATCTTATGCAGTAAGACCAATTTTCTATTCCATAAATTGTACGATATATTATCTTATTTATAGATTTATATTATAATGAAATATGTCAAGATGAAATTAATAATTGGAGCTAAATCGAATTATAAATCGTATTATGTAACGTAGAGATTCTTGCAGCACTCGGGTTTTGAATGTTTCAATTCTCAAATCTGTTTCAAAATCTCAAATCTATCAGAAAGATCTCACTCTATATCTCTCGCCTTATACCACATTATTTGAACAAGTTATCGCGACTGGCGGGTTGCACGTGATAGTTTTATCGCGTTTTCTACCCCCCAGAGTTTCTCGCGTCGAAAACTTTGCGCGAAGCGCATCATCGCCTTTGCATCGGTTGCGGATGATATTCAGCTTGAGTGCAGCTGACAACGAAAGCGGCAAGTGAAGCTGCGGCTGTTGCATGTTATACCATACAGAAACGTGGCATGGTGCAAGTTACAGCCTGTTTCGTGCCTGTTCAGGGACGGATGTTTTAGTAACAGGCATTCTCACGTTCAGCCAACGATATTTCTATTAAATTGTCAATTTTTTTTAAATTTTTATTATTAATATTATAGTTATCGCGACTGGCGGATTGCACGTGATAGTTTTATCGCGTTTTCTACCCCCCAGAGTTTCTCGCGTCGAAAACTTTGCGCGAAGCGCATCATCGCCTTTGCATCGGTTGCGGATGATATTCAGCTTGAGTGCAGCTGACAACGAAAGCGGCAAGTGAAGCTGCGGCTGTTGCATGTTATACCATACAGAAACGTGGCATGGTGCAAGTTACAGCCTGTTTCGTGCCTGTTCAGGGACGGATGTTTTAGTAACAGGCATTCTCACGTTCAGCCAACGATATTTCTATTAAATTGTCAATTTTTTTTTAATTTTTATTATTAATATTATTATTATAATGTAAAAAGATGCTGCATTTAGTGTGAAAAAATGGCATATTTTTTTAAAAATTTATATTAGAAGCACTGCCCCCCATATAAATGTGTTATTTTTATCGATCAAAATCAGATTTTGTTTAGCAATTATAAATTTTGCATGTATTGGAAAAATTGAAGTTTATAGTCTTATAATCTCGTGGTTATTTAAAAATTAGATCTCTCTCGCAGGTCTATGTACGACTAATTCCAGTGCCTACGTTTATCAACGCACGCACTTGCGTGCGCTTGCAGGCATCGAACGTGCGTGTGCATGCACACAATTCCGACCGTATTTACCGGGCCAATGATTTATATGCTAATCTCGCGTGGAAGGCGAATCCAAAACTCCGGTAAACTTTCACCGTCGTGCATTAACGACTTCTCTTTCGTGGAGCGGCGGATGCGAGATAAACGATTTCGCGTAATCCGCGAAAATTTGCGCGTTAATCAAAAGCACGTGAAAAACAATTCGCGACTTCGATAATTTTAAACCTACTTGTCATTTATTGTCAGCTACTTCCCGAGAACGAAAGAATCGGTATCAACGAATATTAATTTTCAACTTGATTATTTATTCTTTATTTTCCCGAACTGTCAAACTGTATTATTTGATGATTATTTTTTTAAATTAATCAGCGATATATTTATTGACAAGATATCGAATTTACTTTCTGCAAAATTGCACTCGGTTAAAATTTTTAAAATTCATTTCTGGAATTTTTAATAATATAAAGAGAGAGAGAAATAACGGTGTATAATTTTAATTTGATACACGCTTGCTTGTCGCTTCGTTATTTTTAGCGCGTATCAACGCGAAATTACCACCGCAACGGCGGTTCTTGCATTCACCTGTTCTTTGGAGAAGACGCACTTGACGTTAATCCAACGGTGCGCCTTGACGGTGCAGTTGCAGCCGTTCATGGCGCATATCCCCGGTTTGGTGGCTTCGACGATGCATGGCAGGAACGCGAGATACCACAGAAGGAACACCCAGCATACGATCCCACGATCACACTTAATAATAAGCCCATCCAGGGCGTTCAACACTCTGCGCTTGGCGCTCATCGCTTGACGATCTTCGATCGAACGCAAGGCGATCGTTAGATCATCACCTGTCGATTTCCTCGCACGATCGCCTCTCTCATAACGATCCGATCACTCGCTTCGTCGTGGAACGATGATACACTCGCGTGACGCAAAGAACCATGCCATTATTATTGATTTGCCAATCGATCGTGTAGAACGATCGATCGGAAGACACTGTATTCCGTATCCTCTCGCGACTTCTTCCACTGATCAATCCTGCGTTTCGCGTCCGGACAGAGAAGAAGGTACATCTCCCCCCTTTTATCGGGCCCTCTCGATCTTTTACGACATTTCACGGTGTGTCGAAAGAGAAATTAACGAGCGATTAATTGGTTCTCGATACGCGCGCGTTCGTTGCCGGAGGGGACGAAGGAGTGGAGGAAGAAGCAAGGCGACTAGAGACCAGCTGATGCGATCCTGACGGAGGTTGCTTTTAAACTGTGGTTGGTAGCATGCACGATCGGTGTCCGCTCCCCACCTAGATCTATACAGCTTGACTCGCCTTGCCACTCTCTTTCTCTTTCCATCTCTCGCCGCACCTTCTCTCTCTTCGGCCTTTTGAGAGATAAACGCCGGCCATGACTCGTCGTCGTCGTCGTCGGGTTCGAAGGAACGGGACGGGCATTCGTGCTCTTCTTCGAGGGTCCGATCGGCGAACTGCTCTCGCCAAGGGGATCGACATCGACTTTGGACGGGCATTCGTGCTCTTCTTCTTCGAGGGTCCGATCGGCGAACTGCTCTCGCCAAGGGGATCGACATCGACTTCTGCGAGAGCGTGGTCGTTGATTTTCGTCGAGCCATGGTCGATACACACCTGCCAGGACGACCTTGACCAACTTACTATCCCGAGAGCCCTCGATTCGCACCGAGGTGACCGATGTTCATCACGGATGCTAATTGCGTAAACGCGTTCAGGACTTGTAACCCCGGTCAATGGGTTTTAATTGATGTGTCGCTTTTTTAGAAAGTGAAACTGTGTTTTGATAAAGATGGTTTTTGATAAAAATTCGATTTCTTGCGAGAAATATCGATCGGATTTTGCAACGCACTTAATCATTAACAAAACCATTGAAGTATTAGTTGCTTCTGGCTTTAAACATTAGCTGACGATAAGATAATCAATGCACGCATACTGATTACTTACTGGAGATTTCGTGTAAATGTGTGCTTTTTTTCAAAGTCTGCGCACGTAAACGTGGCATTGAACAAAAGTAGAATTCTTAAAATTTTGTCAAACTTATCTTCAACAAGGAAATCTTATATAAAGAGATACATTGCCTACGATGATAAAATTTTAATTGGTATTGATACTAATTACTAAATTATTGAAGAGATTTTAGGTGTTAATGTTTACAAGCTGAGAGAGATGCCAAAATTCATATTTTTCTATCAATTTATTATTTGTGTTTTAATCTCTTTATAAAGTTTTAATTATCAAAATAATTTCATTTTGTGAGTCAAAATAAGATGATCAAAACGAAATTTTTATTTGCATCATGAATAATGAATAAAATATAATTTCTTATAAAAATAGTTTTGAAATATCGAAAAAAATTGAAATTTCTTGAAAATATTTCAAAAATTGTTTAGATTTTTACATGTAAATTTTCCATAAATGAAATGAAGAAAGAACCATTAGCGAGCACAAACACTGCATAGATTTCTTTGGACGAGTTCGATATATCTCTGCGGATTTTTCCTGAAAGCCACAGCGCTGGTAATTTTCGCGATTACGCTTTCTTGCCGATAATAAAGAAAGTTACGCTGGGCATGTGACAAAAAGCAACGTGAACCACCGTTTCCGACATATTGTCGGAACCGGAAATACACGACGAGGGAAGTGCCGTATACTATAAAAACAAGACAGTGGCCTGGAAGACGCCGGCTACGTCGCTTTTCATAATAGCAGATAGTGTTTCCCTAAAACTCGCCATACCGTCGTGTAAGCTCTTCGCTTTATGAGCGGAAACCTACCCATTTAATTTCCCATGAGAAATTGCTTGCGCTCCTCTCCTTCTTGACTCCGCACCGCACGGCATCTCCTCCCTCTTCTCCTGTCATACACGCATGAAACGTCATTCCATTCATTCATAACGCGTTTCTCAAACTGAAAGGTGCCGCGAAGTGCCCATTTCCGAAATGGTCACGTACCGGTTGTACGTCACATGGATACTGATCTTTAAAGCTGCACGCTCCCGATCCCTCTCCCCTGCCCCTCTCTCTCTCTCTCTCTCTCTCTCTCTCTCTTTTTCTCTCTCGCGTATTATGCACCAGTGTCTATTATCTTTTGCATGCCGCTCGTTCATCTTTTTCGTCGTGACTATGATCGATGGTGAGAGCGCGCTATTCCTTGGCGCTTATATCTGACTCGCGAAAATTACATTTGTTACATGGTTTGATACGCGCGAGATACCGCAGACCTGAATCGAGGCTATAACATAACTCTCATTCTGAGTCGAGGTATCATCGGAGTGTAATTCCTTCTAATCTAGAATCCGTTAAAGTGGTCTCTCCCAAAATTAAATTAACGAACAAAACGATGTTGGGGGATGATATCTCGCAAAATTAAATTAATGATCGGAACGATACCAAGTGTAATTTAAGAGATATTCTATTTAATAGTTTGCGTATAAAAGACTAAAACTTTGTTTCTTACAAAAATTCTTTTGAATAGAAGAAGAATTATTGACAATTATTCATGATATCTAAATTTTCTTTCGATAAAAAAAGTATAAATCTGAAAGAAAGATTAATAAATACTTTTTATACATTATATATATTTACATATTGTAAGTTGATTAAACTCTCGCACCGTGTTTATATATTATGAATTTATTGATTATGGAGTCATCGAAGAAAATATCGATCTTGATTATTTCTCATGTAGAAATACCGTAATCGATTGATACGCGAATTCCAGCAAGACTCTCATGCATGATTTTCCCAGAATACCGGTTTTCGCGATGATAAAAACACGGAGTTGGTTCTACACTCGTGAGAAAACCATAAGTATGTATAATTTTATTGACGATTTTACAAAAATGGTTAAAGATACTAAATTTATATGAAAGGGGAAAACTGAAAGATAATGAAATTAAAAAATTTTAAATAACTCAGCTCACACACAGAACATATTTTATATCATTTAGAATAACGGAATTACTGTGTGTCCTGAATTTCAGAAACTTTATAACATCCGTTCTCTCACACAAATGCGTTTAAATGTCAGATATAGTTCGCTCGCTTAAATACAATAGTATAGAGGTAGCGAAGCGCGGATCAGCGGTGACGAGCTTCGAGGAGAAGAACCGCGATGTGATTGTGCCTTATTAGGGATGAGTCCGACGAGAGTCCGAACGGGAGAAGCGACGATTGTCTGGCTGGTAGAGGAGCATCGTCCTCTATTCGCGATCTACCCAGCCGAGATCCGCGCACTAACCAATTAGGGGCATCGCGGCTCTCAAACTCGCTTTAACGAACTGTGCTCGCTTTACCTGCACCGGTAATAGACTTAGCTCGATCTCGTAATAAAAGTGCGCTCTCCGCGAACCGCGAACTTTTGCGACGTTTATATCCCGGTATATCTCGTCGCACAATGATCTTGTATTCTCAGCGCGTTGCGGCTCTCCCTGACGTGACTAACGAAGGATTAAAAGTTTCAACGGAAAATCTCCATTTCCTACTCCTCGCTCGCACTTTTATATCGTGCTATATTAATCAGAATATACGATTAGTTCTATGCGAAGTTTCTCTGCGCTTTAGATATTCATTAATAAAAGATTTTTCGAGATTTTTGCATGCCAGTCGAAAAACATAACTTTGGCTTGCATATCTCGCAGCAAATTCTATACCACGATATGAATAAGAAGAGTTTTCGATGTGAATATGAGTTAAAGATTAAGCGCAATTATAGTACAAGTAAATATAATGATTTAAAACATAAATTAATGCAGAAAAATCTCTATTTCCTCGTGCGCAATTTTATATCGTGCTATATTAATCAGAATATACGATTAGTTCTATGCGAAGTTTCTCTGCACTTTGGATATTTATTAATAAAAGATTTTTCGAGATTTTCCCCAACTTTTGCACGCCAGTCGAAAAACATAACTTTCGCTTGCATATCTCGCGAAATTCCGAATCATGATATGAATAAGAATTTTCGATGTGAATATGAATTAAAGATTAAGCGCAATTATAATATAAATAAATGTAATGATTTAAGAAATAAATTAACGCAGAAAAATATAGAATCTTTTTTTCCAAAATCTTCTCTAAATTCGAAATTTATTTATTCTTTATATACCTATATCAGTAATTACATGTATGCGCGCTCGTGGTTACTTAAAGTATACTTAAGATATACTTAAGGAGAGATTATACTTATCGCGGAGCGCTATAATATAAGAAACACTATATAAGAAATACTTTGCTAACTAATTAAATTTGTTATGTTTGTTTTATTATCAGTTGTCACTCAAACGAGCGTCTATTCCTGCGCGATTTCGTCTCCTGCTCAGCCGGCACCAGCGGTGGCAGACTCGCGCGATGGTTGCAACCGGATAGTTTCGTCGATCCCTCTCAATGTGAGGCGTTATATTCGCGGGAAGAAATGAGGTGCGGATGGCCGGCGATCGTCACTGTGCTCACCAGAGATCAATACGGCGAAGTCGTGCACGTATCCGGATTAAAGGTATATTTTTCTGGTTCCCGGTTTACTCGATCAGGATCTCTCAATGTCAAATTGTCGTCTTTGCAGATCGAAGTCAAGGCGGTGCCGATCGATAAGACAGATATCACGGAATCCGATCAGAGCAGGAAAATTCGCCGTGTTTCTCAACCGGATCCATTAACCTTTGGAGGTCACCCACAACCATCCTTGGACGTCCCGTACGAAGTGACCATCAACAACAAAATGTGCTTCTACGCCATCACCATCATGAAAGCCTATCAAAATTACTCGTTCGAGGAACTGAGGTTCATGTCTCCCACCGTCAAGAGATCGAGCGAGAGTATGTTGGTCAGACCCAACGGTGATGGTAGTTACAGTGCTACGTGGACACCATCCTCGGTCGGTTGGTACTCGCTGATGATCACGGTGGACGGTTACAACATGGAGGATGTACGTAGGCTGTTTATCTATCAAAGATATCATTTGGGATTAAATTGGATTCTCAATTTTAATCCCATTGTACCTGTTTTACTAGTCGGAAATGAGGCTTAAAGTATGTTAATTCAATTTTGCCTTGTTTAGAATTACAAAGTCGAAGTAAAGGAACCTCCGCAAGGTATGCAACCGCCCACTCAAAACATTGTCAAAAAGCCTCAGCTTCAGCCGAGCAGACTCAGGAAATTCGTAGCAAAGAATAGCGCTGGCTTAAGAATACGGGCTCATCCGTCGCTGCAAAGCGAACAAATCGGATTCGTTTCGGTTAATGGCACTATAGCTTTCGTTGATGAGGTAACACATATAAAATTATTGACGCTTTAATCAAATTCACATTTTTGAAACTAACTATAAAGAATTAATGAAACTATAGATTTTCGCCAAATATGAAAATATCAAAAAAACATTAGCAAAAATATCATCGTATTCTTATCTTTGTACAATTTTAGTTTAAATTATTTTTATGTATTTCAAAAACGAAAAAGATATTTAAATGAGAATAAAACTTTGCTTCTCTGCTAATTAGATTCATAACGATGACGGCGTTTGGTTACGTTTAAACACGGAGACAATCAAGGAATACTGTAAAAGTAGTCATCTCGAAGCCTGGTGCTTGCAGTACAATCAGCATTTAGGAAAAACTCTGCTTCTACCAGTAGAGGAACCAAAGTCTATTCTAGATCAAGTCATTAAGGAAACCATTCTGCGAAAGCGGCCTGATATTGGTGACGAGTATGTAAACAAATCTTTCTTCCGTTATTTGTACTTATTTCTAATCTTAATACAATCCCCTTTTTTACAGCAAAAGAAAGACAGTGACCTTTGACGCCGGAAGAAGCATGATAGTCGTGAAATGTGGCGCATCCGGGCACAATATTAGAAGCAAACCAAGCTTGAAGGGCGCGCCAATTGGAATGTTAGCGCTTGGAAATACAGTGACTGTTCAGGAATACGTAAGTTGATTAATGCATTAATAAATATCCGTTTACATACGTAGTATGGCGCTTCACGATTCACCTGTTACAGTGCGTGAATCACGAAGGAACTTGGGTGCGTATCGACGACGATTCGGTGACGAAATATTGCTTCGACAAGAATCGAAGCGTAGAGGCATGGTCGCTCGCGATCAACAAACAAACTGGCGTAATTTATATGAAACTCGAACAAGATTTAGAAAACGATCCGATCGAAAAAAAGCCAATACTGGACCCAGCCATTTCACCGAGTAATAGAGGTTTCGATTTTTCGGTACCTTCTGTTAGCCACGAGGGCTTCAATTTTACCGCACAGAATTACACGTCGGATACGGCCGAGTCTATTGAGGGTTGTAATACAAATCCATTTGTTTTCGGCTCATACAATCAACATGATTCGCCAGGTGCATAATTGTAAAAATAAATCTAAATGAATAATATTGCATATAAATATTTGTTAAATATATGTTTAGGGAGCGAACGCTTCATACCTGAAAAGACTGATGGTACTCCAAAATTTTCGAAACCTCATTCGAAAGAAAGAGTAGCCAAAGAGCGGGAAAGAGAAGGTGGCGGAGGAAAATTTAGCGTTCTTCAAAAATGGCTACGAGGTGATGACAAATGTCATGGAGAGAAAAGAAGTTCCCCGGGCAGGTATTTATTTTCATGCATAATATATTTTTCTGACAAATTTTTAAGTATATATATCACTTTTTATTCGTCGATTTAAAAATTCTTTACATAATTATTTAATCTTTTTCTCTAAATTGTATATCATTAAACTTTGAAATTACCGAGTCCTTTTGTAAAACATAAAAAAACGATTTATCTTTATATTTGTGATGCTACTTATTTCTTTTTTGCATAACAAATTTCATAGCAAATTTTTAAAAATAATAAATTTTTTTAAAGTGTTGGTATTTCTACGTTGTATGTATGATTAATGTTTTTCAGAGATTTCTCCGAATTTGTGGGCGTATCTGTGAAAGAGTTGGTAAAAGCGATGGGGGAAAGCCGCGCGAATGGCAACGGAGCGACACCGCCGGAAACACCGCGGCGAACGTCACGAAGTTCCTCGCCGAAGAATCCCCAAGGTGGATCGCCCAGATTTCACAGCCCGTCTTCTAGCCCGGTCCCAATACCTGGTATATATGCGGCACTTTGTTAAAATATAAACTCTCTCTATCTCTCTTTCATTTCTCTATCGAACAAATTTATTTCATGACTCATTTTTATAATGTTGTACATCCATGTGTACTCTTGTGTAATTTGGCACTATTTGGCAATTGCTTTGAAAATGAAATTATTTCAGAAGCTGTGAGAACGGACGCTGATACTTGTAAGGCAGCAATGTAAAATATTTTGTATTTACTATATTTCCTTTCTTTATCGCGTATTAGAATACAAAAATGACATTCAATATAGTGATGTTACGATAAAGTACATAATAGATGTAATAGAAAAGAATATTAGACAATTATATTAACTATTAATTAAATATATATAT